GGTATAGGGTAATGGTTTTCTATGCACGAGGAGTTAAGGTCTCATGCCACTAATTAACCAATGGCTGCTCGTAGCCCTCAATTTAAATGCCCAGCAAGAACCAATGAAATTTTTTAAATATTATTTTTCTCAGGTGCTCCCTGTTTGAGGGCGTAATCACCTGGGTCAGAGGTGAGACCAACATGTGGTCTTTTGTTTACTACTTAGCGGCTGTGTACCTGTGGGTTTATTCTGTGTGTTAATGGATGTTCTAATCTTGGTGTTTTTCCAGTGATTTCTCTTGGTGCAATCCAAATACAGTAGGTGTGTCTTGTTTACCTGAGATTTGCAAGAGTTTGAGCTGGCCAACATGTTAGTTTTTTTCATATGGTTGATTACTGGCATGTTGATTTCCCATTTTTGAGCCATATTTTCAACTTTCTTCGTCATTTTCATATAGCAATCTCGTCATATGTTAACATTGTCGTCTATGGAAATTCAATTAGTGGTATGAGCCCATAAAACACTCACATTAATCAGAAGTATGCCCTCTATGACCATGTTCACATTAATTCAAAGTATGCCCTCTATGACCAAGTTCACATTAATTCAAAGTATGCCCTCTATGACCAAGTTCACATTAATTCAAAGTATGCCCTCTATGATAAAGTTCACAATAGTCCAAAGTATGCCATCACACAGATTAATCATATGTTTGAGGCTCATAGAATATCTGTATGGTAATATATAATTACCTTTTCCCGTCAATCAGCTTTCTTCTCTCAGCAGCATACTTTTCAGAAAGCAGTTCTTTGATTGGTACATTTACTTTTGATGGGTCTGTGCAGTACCAAGTAGTGTCGGCAAAACTCAACCTGAGTGCCTCAATCAATGTGTGCAGATATTGACTTGAATTGTGACCCATGCCTGCAAATACATTCAATTATGGTGCTGTATGGTATGTGCTCTCAATAGAATGAGTTCTCATTAACTTTACATTGAAACACAGAAACATACCAAATTCAAAACCAAGTTTTGAATAAGTATACTTTTTGTACAGAATATGTATACAATTAATATACTATTGACGCATACAGTTTGGTAAGCGCATTTTCAAATTATGAAAATCTGGTGATTACTCGTCACCTGCATTCTACTTGCAGTTTGCAAGGTAAGTCAGAAATCGGTGAACATTAGTCTACTGCCCTCAATACTTCCTGTTTGCTTGGAATTGACTACATCCATTGTAGCCTTTCCCCACTAGCTTCATGTATCTGTTTTGTTTGTGTACAATGCACTTTGGCTGATATCTGAAGAAACCTGAAATACTTCCTGATTTAGGTGGGAAATCAGTTATTATAGTAACCTCAATATTCTGTTTATTTTTTGCTAATAGAATTTTTTGAAATTTGTTAATTTAATAGGGTTCATGGAGACATAATATCAAATAAGTTGTTGTAATCTCCATGTCATTAGTAAAATTTTCACTGACACAAAATCTTTACCAAAACTTGCCTCTTGCAAAATCAAAGCAGTTTACTGTATTTTTAGTGAGTTAAAATGCAAATAAAATGAATTGCTTTTATTGATGTACACATTTACCAGAAACAAGCTATTTTTAGAGGGCCTTATCTACTTCATTGCACCCATCCAATTTTGATTCATTAACATGTTTGCAATCCACATTTTAAATTATTTAAATTATTTGGTGTGTTCACATCTGGTTTTTGTGTGTATCCTTTAAAGCAGATGGAAACTACACTGGTGTGAAAGAAAAACATTTATGCCATGAAGATGAATATTTCGTTTTTAGAGATTTTTTTTTCTTCAAATTTGCCATTGTTATTGTAATCGTCCACGTGACTTAATTATTTGGAATATAGGATTTATTTATCTCTACAATTAATCAATGAATCCACATCATTGTAAATCACAGTGAAATTAGACTTTATTTATAACTTGACAACACAGTGCAAGGCAGAATTTTTTTATAATTTCAAAATTGCTGTCTGATTTTCTCCAATTGACCAATCAAGCTATGGCGACATCATAGCAAGTATTAATTAATATATTAATATTAATTATTAATATATTAATTATTAATATTAAATAATTAATTATATTGATAGGTTAGTCCAATGTCATCCTATCATCAAACATTTTAATTTGAATAATTGGACTGGTGCAGATACTACGCTACATCCATATATATAGTTGAAGGCATGCATGTGCAGTATTGGTGTAGATATTATTGAGCATTCAAGTCAATCACAATTACAAAATCAAATTTGAATGAAAGCGAAACGTCAGTATTTACAAATATTTATAAATGCATTTATAAACTAAGGTACAGGTTTCTGCCATGCACTGTGTTTAACTCAACCTATTTAACTCAACCTATTTAACTCATTCTATTTAACTCATCCTATTTAACTCAACCTATTTAACTCAACCTATTTAACTCATCCTATTTAACTCAACCTATTTAACTCAACCTATTTAACCTGGATATCTATTAAACCAACCAAAGCATTTTGTGTCATGTGACATGTTTGTTCAGTGCAGACATGTCCAATGAATCATTTGTGCAATTGTTTACAGTATGGTGTAAATATGCACAGATGCTTATCAGTCAATGCGACAGGGTCAAGGTCTTACAATCAATCAATCAATCAATCAATCAATCAATACATCAATCAATACATCAATCAATCAATCAATCAATACATCAATCAATAACCCAATCAATCAATCAATCAATCAATCAATTAACCAATCAATCAATCAAGTAAGACATCATTGCTAAACAAATATACATGCATAATCCAATATGTAAGTAACATTGTGCTGTGTTTCTTGGACCTAGATGATGGACTATATACATAATTTTGTTCAAAATAAAAATATTATGTAAGTTTAAATGTAATTAGTTCAGCATCTGTAGTTGTGTATGGGTGAAAGTAAACCACAAATTCCAAACTTTATCAAGCCATTAACCAAAGTCAAACATTGTGACAGGCCCTATACCCTGCATTACCATGGCAACTCTTTAACACCTATGAATTGAATTACAATTGATATGAATACCTTTAAGATCATATGCTTCCAGAATGTTAAGTGCCATGAGGGCTGTAATACCCTGTCCATTCGGTGGCATCTCCCAAACACGTACACCTTTGTAATCCACACTTATCGGCTCATCGTACGTAGTCGTATGGTTCTTTAGATCATCTAATGACAAGACACCGCCATGTTCTTGAACCACGCTTACAATAGCTTCACCAATCCTCCCCTCATAAAATGATGATTTGCCACCACTGGCGAGCTCCTTTAAAAAAACACAAAATAGGAATAATTCCTACAAACATTTAACAAAATAAATTTTACTTCAAACACTTGTTTTGATGCTGACAACAGCATTCCTATTCCTACTGGAACATTTCATCATAGTAAGATAGTTAAGTGACACTGCACACGAAACATGCATTTTTCATTTAAAAGATATTTTGTTTGTTTGTTATTATTATTATATGTAATCCCACGATATTACTTGTCCTGCCTGTGGCTCGAATTGATACAAAACTTGGGCGGGAATCACTTGTGTCTGCTGACATTCACCTATCATGTGATTATTTTTTAAATCACATCCATATTTCCACGTTTCCAAAAAAAAAGTGAAATGATGGGACTAATGCTGAAATAACACAAAATAAAAATATATAATTGCAAACACATTGTATGCTAATTTTGTTGACGCCCCCATGTTCAATTTCACACAAAATCGATTCTGGCGATTCTGCTCATTTGCGATATTTGCATAATTTCAACTTTTTTTTGGAGGGACTGTATAATAATTCCAAAAGTATACACACATGAGCTTGCCAAAATGAATCATTGTTACCACAATCTATAATTATCAGACCATATATAAACCTGCAAGCTCTGCACAATCTTCAGGCAGTGTGTACAATGAGAAAAAAATCAGCAATATCTGACGTCAAAATATGTGATATGCATTTTCGATCTGTCCTGTATTACGTCACATTCTGGAAATAATGTTTATATGCCAGTTATAATAATTAATAATTATTTAAACTTAATTTATTCCCTACATGATACAGTATACGTTGCTAATGCATATTTTTATTTAGATTTCAAAAATGTATTTACATTAAATTTTATTTTCAATCCAATCAAAATGAGAATACACGGCTTCCATGAAGCCTTTGAAGCTGTGACACAATACTGACAGAAAATCATTATTATATTTACCTTAAAAGTATTTGCCAGTAGTGGCATTTTCATGATTTCTCCCACCCGAGGTGCCTTGCCGTTCAATAACATATCTCCACCATATATATTCTTTGGATCTTTCAACAGAAAGGAACCCTTCTCCCAGGAATAAGCACATATGGGATGTACAGGATAACCATCTTCAGCAAGGCATATAGCAGGCTCCAAGATTTCTCTCACTGACAACTAGAATTTGTGAAACACAATATCTAATGTACATTATC